TTGCACAACTATACTGATGTTGGACTTGGGCCTACAGTTCTGGCTTATCTATTCAAGAACTTGCATATTGCCACCCTGGAGAATCCGCTGAATCTGTCCGCTCCTTGTGCATTTTGGATGATCCAGATCTGGTTGCAGGTCTATTTCCCAGAACTGAGGTTCCCATATATAGTTCTGCCTGAAGATCAGGTTCTGGCTCAGCCATTGATGTCGGCAGAAGTGCCCAGGCGTTCTATTGAAGAGTACCTGATGTTCTTCAGGCATTGCACGAAAAGATCAGCAGCTCAGTGGCAAGTGGTGATCAGGAGAACCTATTCTTGGTTCCAGCTTGGATACCGTTTGTTTGAGAAAGAGCTAGAAGAAGAAGCAGCCAAAATTGATTTCAGGAAGAAGTTCCTAAGTGTGACCCTCCCAAGAGACCTACCCCATGGAGGTGGGAAGCCTCTCAATTATCATTTGGGGGTAGAAGTGTATCATCCCAACTTTTGTGCAAGGCAGCTTGGCTGCCCACAGCTTATTCCACTCAAATCCTATAGGAGCTGTAATCGGGCTTCTTCTTGGAGAAACCTAGATGACCTGGATGTGCATAAGGGTGCCAGGTGTGCAGTGAACAAGATAAACAACAGTGCAGATGCCCTATATCCGTCCTGGGAACCCAATTCCTGCAATTCTGCCGATTTTGACGCATGGTGGAAGGCTCGATTCGAAGTCTGTCTGCTTCCAGTACTGCACTAGCAGTGTTTTTTGATGGCTGGGATGGCTGGGCCGTTCGTACAGGAGAGGAGACTCACAAGTTTATGGTGCAGACCATAAAGGACATTAATGCCCAAGTTCTAAAAGGTAGTGTCTCAATTCTGTATGTTCTGTTCTGTTTATTCTTTTCGTAATGGTGATATCTAACACTTTCTTCTGTCTGCAACAGATCCTTTTTTGACATAGAATGTTGGTGGTCAGTCTGCCCAGGTTGGAGAAGTGTTTGGTAAATTTTCTATCCTTCTGTTCCTTCTACCTTTTCCTGCTGGATTGATTTATGAAATTGTCATTTCTTGTGCAGTTACTTCTGTCATAACTGCTGGGGACCTGGAGTTTCCTTCTGGAAAGGAAGAAGAAGAAGAAGATCAAGCAGAATAGACTCTCGTTGAGGCAACTCCTTCTGTCAGAAGGAAAAGAAAGGAAACTGCTCAACCTACGACTTCAGGTGAATTTTGACAATTTTCTTAGTTCTGTTATGTTCTGGTTTATGTTCTAATGGCCTATTTTCTTCTTATTTCAGCTGAAGGTCCTTCTCCTCCTCCTTCTAAGTTAAAAAGGCTTAGAAAGGGGACGGTGGTGGAATATGTGGCCACAGAAGGAACTGCAGCAGCTCCCAACGCCACTTCAGACACGGATGAAGAGCTGAGAAAGGCTTTTGAGGTTGTGGAGCAAGAGAAGGAGCTGGAAGAGTTGGAAGAAGTAGGAGAGGGGCCTCAGGAGAAGGCCAAGGTAATGGAAGAAGAGGTGAGTCTTGTTTTTCTGGTTGTATCAGTTTTTGCTGTCTTTTATTCCTTCTGTCCTGATTTTTGTCCATCTGTAGGAGGAAATTCCTGCTAAGTATTGTGTTAGCTCAGAAACAGCAGGAAGACACAAGAGCAAGGATGACTAGCTCAGAGTTGGCCCTGTTTGAGGATCCAGAAGCATAACACTCTACTGCTGTTCTAGCGGCTGAGGAACAGGCAGGACAATCTGTATCAGAACTTGTGGACCAGGCTGTGGTGGTTCCAGAAGCTGGAGCAAAAGTGGATGCCTTTGCTCCTGAAGTTATGGTAATTTTTTTTCCAATTCTGCTCACATTTTCTGCAATTCTATTCTGTTTTCTGCTTCTTTAATCGCTATAGTATTTCCAAGTAGAAGTGCCCAGATCTGTTGGTGCCCTGTTAGTGGTGACTAGCCCCTTGAAGCCCCCAATTGTTGTTGTAAGTGTTCATTATATTTTTGGGTTTTTCTTTTCTGTTTCTGGTTGATTTTGACTTATGCTTCCTTTTGCATATGCTTATTCATTCCCTTCCAGGCTCATCTGCCACGGCCTCCTTTGCTGATCTAGAACTGGCAAAGTTTCAAGCCATGGACTTAGATGCCCAACTAGACAGATTGGAGATGCTTAGCTCTCCTGTAGGTAAGGCAAAAACCAAGGCAGTGAAGGAGGCTATGGAAAGGCTGAAGATCTGGCAGTCTAATAAACTGGAGTTAGATGAGGATAGGGAAGCCATTGAGCTGATGAAGGATCTGGACCTGCTACACAGACAGAATGTGGCCCCCAAACCCATACTTGAGATGAGTCTTGGCCTGGCAAGAGATGTGCTCAACCTCCATGATCGTTATGAGGATCTCAAGCCAGCCTTCAAGACTTCTGAATTCTGCAAGGCTACTCACGAAGCCAACTTGGCTGATTTTGCAAAGCAGAAGGCAGAATTGGACCAGATGGTGGCAGGATACAAGGAGGCTAAGTCCACTACAGACAAGCTGGAAAAACAGATTGAGAAGCTGCAGAAGCAATTGGCAGAATGCAGGGAGGTGCAGAACAGGCTCGGGGCTGGACTAAGCTCCAAGACCAAGGCTACTTTCCTTATGCAGAGCATGGTTGCAGCTTCCAGGCCAGCCCTGGAGATTGCAGAGGCTTCAATTCATCAGGAGGTGCTGCTTCAAAAGGAACTCTCCATTAAGAAGACCAACTTGCAAGAAACCCTCAAGAAATTAGGGTTCTGATTCTGTTATTTATTACCCTTTTAGTTTTTTCTTCATGATGAACAATTTGTCGTGGGGAAGGCCTCATGGCTATTCATTTTAAATAAAGTTTATTTTCCTTGTTGCAATTTTCAGGTGTTTAATTTCTTTTGATGAAATAAACAGAAGTATAAAAGGATCAAACTTTAAATAACTTAGAACAAAGATGACTCTAAACAGAAATAAAAGCTTTTTAGTGTTGTCCCTTCTCTATCCCAGGATCTGTTTGTACTGCTTGTGAATCCCACATGGTTGGATAAAACTTCTTTAACCATTTGTCGTTGATTGGGGCTGCATGAATTTCTCCATCTCTATCTGCAACCTGTATGCCCCCATTCCAAGGATCTAGTTGATTATGAAAGGGTCTTCCCATGTAGGTGACCACTTTCCATAACCAGCCACATGTGTTCCAAGGGGCAGAACTACTTTCCAAACTATCTCTCCTTCCTCAAAACTCTTGTTCTTTACGCTTTTGTTGTAGGCCCTTGACACAGCTTGCTTTCCTGTCAGTAGTTTATTGAGGGTATCAATTCTGCTTGCAACCCATCCTTCTAGATCTAGCAGCATGGCTTGAGAGTAATTTTCTCCAACCAGATCATGTTGGTGAGCAATTCTGAGGGATTGAACAGCTATCTCCATAGGCAGAATTGCATCATGGCCATAAGTTAGAGCATAGGGGGTCATGCCAGTTGCTTCTCTCTTTGAAGTTCTATATGCCCACAGAGTTTTTGATAGCTTCTCATGCCATTGCTTTGAATTTTTCTTAAGCATTTTTTTGATAATGTTGATGATTACTTTGTTACTTGATTCTGCCTGTCCATTAGCTTGAGCATAGTAGGGAGTGGATTGAAGCAGTCTGAATTTGAATGCCTCTGTCATATCTAGCATCTCTCCAGATATGAAAGAAGATCCCCTATCAGTTGTGATTCATTCTAGAATGCCAAACCTCTGTATAATTTGTTCTTCTATGAAGGTGGTGATCTCTTGAGATGTAGTGGATTTAACAGGCTTGGCTTCCACCCACTTGGTGAAATAGTCTGTAGCAACAATAATAAAACAGTGTTGTTGGCTGTTGGCTGGATAGATCTTGCCAATGAGATCCATTGCCCATCCTCTAAAGGGTCATGGCTTTACCACTGGATTCATGGGAATTGAAGGAGCCTGCTGGGTTGGGCCATGCCTTTGACAAGACTCACATCCCTTGGAATAGTCAATGCAATCTTTCATCATGGTTGGCCAGAAGTAGCCATACCTTCTGATCAACTAGCACATTTTCTCGTTGATTGGGGCTGCATGAATTTCTCCATCTCTATCTGCAACCTGTATGCCCCCATTCCAAGGATCTAGTTGATTATGAAAGGGTCTTCCCATGTAGGTGACCACTTTCCATAACCAGCCACATGTGTTCCAAGGGGCAGAACTACTTTCCAGACTATCTCTCCTTCCTCAAAACTCTTGTTCTTTACGCTTTTGTTGTAGGCCCTTGACACAGCTTGCTTTCCTGTCAGTAGTTTATTGAGGGTATCAATTCTGCTTGCAACCCATCCTTCTAGATCTAGCAACATGGCTTGAGAGTAATTTTCTCCAACCAGATCATGTTGGTGAGCAATTCTGAGGGATTGAACAGCTATCTCCATAGGCAGAATTGCATCATGGCCATAAGTTAGAGCATAGGGGGTCATGCCAGTTGCTTCTCTCTTTGAAGTTCTATATGCCCACAGAGTTTTTGATAGCTTCTCATGCCATTGCTTTGAATTTTTCTTAAGCATTTTTTTGATAATGTTGATGATTACTTTGTTACTTGATTCTGCCTGTCCATTAGCTTGAGCATAGTAGGGAGTGGATTGAAGCAGTCTGAATTTGAATGCCTCTGTCATATCTAGCATCTCTCAAGATATGAAAGAAGATCCCCTATCAGTTGTGATTCATTCTAGAATGCCAAACCTCTGTATAATTTGTTCTTCTATGAAGGTGGTGATCTCTTGAGATGTAGTGGATTTAACAGGCTTGGCTTCCACCCACTTGGTGAAATAGTCTGTAGCAACAATAATAAAACAGTGTTGTTGGCTGTTGGCTGGATAGATCTTGCCAATGAGATCCATTGCCCATCCTCTAAAGGGTCATGGCTTTACCACTGGATTCATGGGAATTGAAGGAGCCTGCTGGGTTGGGCCATGCCTTTGACAAGACTCACATCCCTTGGAATAGTCAATGCAATCTTTCATCATGGTTGGCCAGAAGTAGCCATACCTTCTGATCAACTAGCACATTTTCCTTCCACCTTATTGAGCTCCACAGATTCCTTCATGAGTTTCCCCCATGACTTTCATGTATTCTTTCTTTCCAAGGCACCTTAAAAGTACCTCATCCTTACTCTTTCGGACCAAATCTTCATTCCACATAAGGTAGTTCAAAGTCATGATTCTGACTCTCTTTTCAGAGGGCAGGGTTGGATATCGTAAGTAAGTCATGATAGGATTTCTCCAATCATCTTCAGTGATTATGGCAGAATTGACATTTATTTCTATCCCCCTGGTCAGAACAGATGGTAGGCTTTTCTTCCCTATCTTGATGATTCTTTGTACACAATCTTCAGGCGTATGCATGTTGCTACCTGAGCCAGTTCATTGGCTGCAAAGTTTTCTTCCCTTGAGATATGCTTCCAAGTAGCTTCTCTGAATTTTGTCCGAAGATTTCTAGCTGCCACCAAGTAGACAGCTAGAGAAGGACTTAGGCACTTGTATTCCCCAGCAATCTATTTCAAGACAAGCATGGAATCTCCTAAAATTTCCACAGATTGGATTCCTAGTTCTATCAGCATCTCTAGGCTTATGATTAGAGCCTCATATTCTGCTCTGTTATTGGTGCACTGGAAATCCAATTGGAAAGAGTAACAGTGTCTGATTCCAAGTGGTTCTTCCAAAACAATTCCTGCCCCAGAAGCTATGTCAGTCTTTGACCCGTTAAAGTATAGCTTCTAAGGCGTGAGATGAACTGAATAGATAGGATTGTTTAGGTAGGTATGAGCTCTTGTCAATAGATCTGCACTTGCTATGTCCAAAGAGTCCATATTTTCAATTTCTTCTTCTAGATGGTCTACTAGGAAGTCTACCATTGCATGTCCCTTAATAGCTTTCTGGGGAACATATTTGAAGGCAAATTCTGTCAAGGCCAGAGTCCATTTTCCAATCATGCCTCTCAGCATTGGTTTTGTTAGCATGTACTTGATCAGATCTGTCTTGGCAATAATGTAGATGGTATATGGCAGCATGTAGTGTCTGAGTTTCACAACAGTGAAGTACAAGGCTAAGCAAAGTCTTTCAATTGCAGAATATTTTCTTTCCACCTCTATCAGAGTTCTGCTCAGGTAGTAGACTGTCTGTTTCTTTCCTTCCTTGTTGTCTTGAACTAACAGACTCCTAATGGATACCTCTGATACAAATACATAGAGCTTGAGTGGTCTGCCTCTCTTTGGTGGGAACAAAACTGGTGGATTTGAGAGGTAATACTTGATTTCCTCAAAAGCTTGTTGGTGTTGTTCTTCCCACTTGAAGGTCTGTTCCTATTTCAATTTTAACAAAGAGGAGAAAGGTTGGATCTCCCCTGCAGAGTTGGATATGAATCTCCTTAGAAAATTAATTTTTCCTAAGAGACTTTGCAACTCTTTCTTGTTCCTAGGCGGTAGAGCTTCTATGATGGACTTTGCTTTGTTCTTGTCGATTTCTATGCCCCTCTGGTGGACTAAGAATCCTAAGAAATTTCCTGCTTGAACTCCAAAACACATTTCTTTGGGTTCATCTTTAGTTTATGCTGCCTCATTCTTAGGAATGCCCTCCTTAGATTTGGTATGTGGTTTCCCTCTTCTGGGGATTTAATCACCACATCATCGATATATACTTCCAAAGAATGCCCTATCATATCATGGAAGACAGAATTCATTGCCCTCTGATAAGTAGCTCCTGTATTTCTTAAACCAAAAGGCATTACAGTGTACTCAAAAGCACCTATATGTCCTGGACACATGAAGGCTATCTTGTGAATGTCTTCTTCTGCCACCATGATCTGATTGTAACCTGCATTACCATCCATAAAAGATAGCATCTGGTTGTGAGCAGCTTCATCTATTAGCATGTCTGCGGTACTCATCTTCGGGAGAAGCTTCATTCAGATTTCTGTAATCCACACAGATTCTGACTGCCCCGGTTTTTCTTTTCAGAATAGGTACAATATTAGCTAGCCAATCAGCATAGATGGCTGGTCTGATGAATCCTGGCTTGAGCAACCTTTCTATTTCTTCTTTGACCTTCAGTTCTGTGTCCATGGACATTCTTCTTCTGGCCTATTTGACTGGAAGGTATCCCTCTTTGATTGGCAGCTTGTGCTCCACCAATTCCCCGTCTAATCCTGGCATTTCATGATAATGCCAAGCAAAACAATCTCTGAACTCCTGCAAAAGGGCAATGAGCTCACTCTTACGTGGTTCTTTCAACAGTGCACTAATAAAAGTAGGTCTTGGATCCTCTTCTGTCCCTAAGTTTATTTCCTGTAAAGGATCCTCCACTTCTGGCAGAGAGTCATCCAGTGCTGCTGGCGCAAAATCTAATACTTCCTCCCGTAACTCTTCTTCCTCCTGGTCTTCCGTGCTTTCATGAGTGAATTCTACCATATTGATGGCTGGATTCTGCATGAAAAGCTTCATTTCCTCCCAGTATATCAACAATCTTTTTGTAATGGATCGGATTGTTGCAGCTCGATCCTTCTCCTGTTGATTGGGGCTAAACATCAGAGTTCTGGAAGTTTAGAACAAAAAGTCTATTCCAGTCCTCTAAGGGACTGATTAGACCTTCAATGAGCCTCTAGGTCGTGACACCATGGGCCCGGCCGTTCTGGTTGACTCCAAAGAATGTGAAAGGACCAAGGTCATCATGATAGTATCTTGCCTCAAAACACATGGCAGAAGGCAGAAATGGCCGTGGATCGGCCTCTACTATCTCCATGTAACCCCCTTCATTCCATAAAGCTAACTGTTGATGAAGAGTGGAGGAAACACATAGACTCTGATGAATCCAGTCTCTGCCAAGCAGTGCATTATAAGTGGTGGAAGTGGTGTCTACCACAAAGAATGCAATCTTCAACTGTTTGCTTCCAACTATGACATCCACATCTAGGATCCCATGAGTTTTGGTGATGTCTCCTGCAAAGTTGGTGACGGTTAAGCGTGTTGGGATCAAGTCCTTCTCTGTTCTGCCCATTTTGCTCAACATTCTGTGAGGCAGAAGATTAATGGTTGCACCTCCATCTACCATGACTTTGGGAATAGGAACACCTCCAAAATTTGCTGTTATAAACAAAGGTCTGAGATGATTGGCCATCTTCTTGGTTGGTTTGGAGAAACAAAGCTGTTCTGCAGTTAGTTTATTGGTAGTTCCGCCTATCTTGGGCCTGCCTGCTCGCTGTTCTGGTACCTCCTCTGCTTCTGCTAACCTGTATTTGAAACTTTCTTGGGAGAAAACATCTCCCTCCAGAATGCTTTTCTGGCAGCTCTGAACTTTTCTGGCAGAATGAACACAATGTTGATGCCCAAATCACCCTGCAACAGGTTTTCCAATTCTGCACCAAAAGCTTCAGTTTCTACATCTAATTCCCCATCATATTCCATCTATTCCTCCCCGAATTCTTCTGTCCAGTTTTCCTGTTCTCCTGTTTCGAGGAGTGCATTCTGGTCATCTACAGATGGCTCATAATCTAGCTGCTCTTCTTCATTTTCCTCAGTCCAGTCTTCTTGCCCTTCTACTGGAATAGGTTCAGATTCTCCTTGTATCTATGAAAGTTTAAATTGATTGTCTGAGGATGAAGCAAGATGGATAGAAGGCTTAACTGGAGATCCAGCTTTCAACATTTTCTGTGGCTGGATTACTTGTTCTGCCTGGGAAAGTATTTCCGGATCTTTCCTCTTTCTGTCAGAAGTGGTCTCCGGAGGTACCTGCATCACTTTTGTTCTTGAAGAATATGCAGTATTGCCTTTGAACCCTCCTCTTCTGGGTTCTGGTTAATTCCATAGTTGGTCTACCACTTTTCCAGACAGCATACCACCTTCCTTCTATGATAGCAGCCAGACGTTTCTCATTCCCGAGCATCTTGATTGATATTTCCTTCTTGGGCTGCTCTGTCATCCTCCTGCTGTGCTGGGCTGGTCTAGGATACTCCTTCCGCCGGGCTCTATCTCGAGATGAGGTTCCAATCCCGTCAAAAACACTCTGAATGGGCTGACTCTGCCTGTCCAGGACCACTTCTAGCTCAGCTTCACATTTGCACTTGCTGCAGAGCACTACTCCAGCTCAGATAGTTGCTTTTGGCCTTTCAATAGTTTCCCTTGAAACCATTATGCCTATGCTGGAACTGGCTTCTGTCGTTAGCCTGCTTCTCTTCTGTTCTGACTAATTTAAGTTGACCATGTTGACAAGTGTTTGGGGAAAAGGATTTGTTGTGACTAAAACCAGTTTCAACCTTCCTGCAGTTATTCCTTCCTGTATAACATCTCTGAAAACTACACAACTATTGGTAGAATGGTTCCAAGAGTTGTGCCATCTGCAATACTGTCTGCCCTTGAGTTCTTCTGACTTGGGCATCTTGTGGGGTGTCTCTATTGCTTTTTGTAGCAACATTTCATCAAACATGGCATCACCTTGGTCAGATCAAAGTAATACACCTTGTTTTGTGTTGGTTTGTTTGGGACAAACCCTCCTGTGAACGATGGCGGCTTCTGATCTCTTGGAGGCTTTGTAAAAGCCTTACAACTTATGGGGTGCTTCAATTTTGCCATTTCTCCCACCGCAATCTCTCTCTCCTCCGAGCCTTCTGCATCTACTTCTGACTC